CCAAGCCCCTTTTTGGAGATGCTCTGCCAGGCTCTGTGGAGGAAGAGTGCTATTCCCTTAGCAGCAGTCATAAGAAAGATAAGAAGAGGAATCAAGTTGTGGCAGCAGGGCAAAGACAGGCAGCAAATCCCACTGCACCATGGTCAGCACGAACAGATAACTTACAGCGCAAAAATTTCATCCAGGATGAACGAGCTGGAGGAAAGGGAGGGGAAGAGTTGCAGGAGGAGCTGCTGTTGTCTTGCACTGTGCACTGTGTGCACTGACCCTGCCCCAGCAACAAGAAACAGGAAAAACACACAAGTGTCAGCACCTTTTGTAGTTTTCAGAAGTGATGCAGGTAACTAAAGCAGTGTTAGCCAGAAGGGTTAAAGTGCTCTGGGCACCAGGAAAATGTTCTTGGAAAAACATTGCTTCTCTCACTGTTTCATTCTGCTCCGTGGACCATGAGACAAAGACAGAGCTGTATCTGCTGGCTTCGGTGACTACAGACAAAACCGCTAAGGAAGAAGATGTGTATTCTCTGTGCCTACAGCGCTGCACAGTGAAGGGGAAGAATGAGCTGCAGCCTGCTGTGGCTTTACATGACAGCAGGCCAACTGCTCATGGGAGCAGCTTCGTGAGATGCCAAATCCTTCCTGCTCCTACTAATGTCACGAGCATAAATGATGCTCGGGAGCTCTGCTGACATGCAAAATGAAGCTGAGGAGGTACCAGGCCATAAGATCCAACTCTGCAATCCTATTGCTGGCATAAGGGAAAGGGCAGAGCCCGTATTTCTGTGACTGTTGCTGGAGCAAAAGCAGAGGCATGCTGCAAACCAGAGGCAGGGATGCCCGTTTTGGGGGGGGTGTGCGTGGGGAGGCGAAGAGCTCTTCACTTGTAAATTGAGCACACCTACTCTGTAAGTGGCCGGGAGGCATAAATATTGAATATCACATTGCCAGCTCCTGCTCAAAGTGTGACAGGATCTTAGCAGAAATAAACAGGGGGCGAGGGCTTGGAAATATGTAGAAGAAGGGAAAAGTGCTAGAAAAGAAACATGCATGTCTAAATGAGATGGAAAAAATGAATGATAATTCAGATACTGACATACTGAGTTCCTACTGGAAGCCAGTCCCTAGCAAAGAACAAAAATAACATGGAAAAAACTGAGAAGTAAGGCAGATCTTAGTATTCACGAAGACCAGGGAAGGAAATGTTTGGGAAGTCAGATCACATGCACATAAACTGAACTGGGTGTCACACATCCAGTGGCCTGACTTTGCAAAGTACCAAGTGCTTCATACGAGGTGCACCGTGTGTTTTGTATTGCAGCTAGTCAGAAATGAATTCTTCTCTTTCCTGTGACATTCTTGTGGTGAGGACAAACAAACCAGAGCTGCTTACTTCCCTGTTCTCCATAATAAATTTTGAGTTTCTTTGGCTAAAATCCAGTCTCTGCTCCTGAGCTCTTGTTGCATGGTAGGTACTCAGGGCACATCTCTCAGCTCCTTCTGGGCACTTCACTGCCTGGGGTCCCATCTTCAGTGCCCCACGGGGTGGGCAAATGCCCCAGTGCTTTAAGGAGACAGTCACCAGTGCCACCCAGGACATACCACCTCAGTGGTGTCCTGTGGGATCATTTCAGACATAAGAGCCATTTTGGATGGAACCACTTTGTCCTCAGCAAAAACAGAAAGTAGAAAATTCCTTTGAAGACATCTAAGTTTCTTATTTTAAGTTTCTTCTGACTCAAAACTTATTTTCTTGTTCAATGACACTTCCAATTCCCTGCACCCACCCCAACCTGCTCACCTTGTAGGAACTTTAATTTCACAGAAAGCTGGTGGTGTTCAGTCGTTCACAGGACTTGGCCTCATAAAAGCCCCCCAAAACCAAAACTCCCCCCAAAACACAAACCAAATGCACTACACTGCCAACTTCCCATGAAAGAAAACAGTGGTCACGTTGGCCACGTTAGATACATGCATGGACTGCATACTTGGGTTCTTGCACAGTGCTTCTCCTTGTTGTGTGCCGGCAAATAACTCTTTTCTAAGAAGACTTCCCTTCTATATGGCTTCCCTTATATCTAATTTCACAAGGAAACTTTTGGTAGTAGTAAGGAAGACAGACGGAGAAACCAGGACATGGTTTAGTGGGAGGTATCCCTGCCCATGGCAGGGGGTTGGAACTACATGATCTTAAGGTACTTTCCAACACTAACTATTCTATTCTATGATTCTATTATATTCTGTTATTCTATTCTATGTGAATTACACCTAGTGGCACACTGCATTCATTTGGCAGTGCTGAGACAGGGTCTTTGGGCACAGAAGAAATGCTAAATACAACCATGGGCAGGTTGGAGCAGTTGAGAATTTCATGTGCAAGAGAAGGCGGGAAGCACTGGGGATGGGCTCTGCTCTGCAGCTGTAATAAACCACACTGACAGGCCCAGAGGCTGTGGTGAGAGAGGAAAAATGTCAAGGGAGGGCTTAGGCAAAAAAGGCTCATCAAAGTGTTGAAAAGAGGTGGAGGAACCAGCTGACAAGCCAAGATGAAAGGGATTAAATACACCTACCAGGACACGGTAGCAGTGTGCAAGCACATAGAGGAGCTCAACATCGAGCAGGGAAAGGGACTGCTTTCAGTGGCAGACATAGGGAAGAGCTGGGCATGAGAGTAATGTGGCATAGGGACAAATCAGAGTGATCTCAGTCTAATGATGGCAAAGAGCTTCGTGGCAGGATCTGCCTGTGGTACAGTCCCCTGTGGGAAGTGGGGAGAATGGGAGGTTGAAAAGATGCCTGGGCAAATCCTGGGCTGCCATCAGGTGTTGTCTGGGAGGTGGGTGGGTGATGACAGAGGTTTTTCCTGGTGCCAACAGCCAGGTATAGCTGGGAAAGGCAGCTCTTCCCAGGAGAAACCACACAACCTGCCCTGCCACAAAAATCCCACAAGGCGTTTGGTGGGTTTTAGTACTCTGCTTCCTCTTTGGGAAGGATTGATGTTTCCTCCTTCTTCTTCAAACAGTTAGTAAATAATTAAAAGAGAGAGACAAAATATCCTCTAAACATAACCTAGTCTTCTGTTTCCATGGCAACCTCCTTCCTAAACCAGAAGCCTCTTGCTCGAGTCATATGGCAGGGGGTCAAAGCCCTTTTGCAGGAAGGAAGGAGTGGTGTCATGACCCTGCTGGGATACAAAGGGGGAACATCATGAAGAGCAAAAGGACTGTCATGAACCCCAAACCATGACAGAAACAAAGAAGTTTTTCCTTGCAAGTTATTTCCAGGGACATCTGAAAATAAGCTGAGAGCATCCATCCTTGAGGCTGTAAGTCACCCCATGAGGTCACCACTGCCATCTTTCCCACCATCTTTTGATCCTTCTTCCCTCCCAGCTGGCCAAGTGCAGGCCACAGTTCTATCATGACATCATGACTGAGTATCAGGGTAGCTTCTAGCTCTGCACTGATCACTGACCTTTCTCTCATTCCTCAGCTGAAATGTTTCACTGCCAGTACAACACAGGGTCCCATCGCCATGTATCCTTGAGGCCACCTTCCAGGAAACACTCTGTGCATTGAGGTGTTTGGGTGGGTTTTAACTGTTTGGGGCTTTTTTTGGTAAGCCCTACCTGTGGCTCCAAAGCAGCTCTGAGTCTAAGCCCTGTGCTGGCCAAGTTCGTTTCTCAGCCATTTGGAGACTGACTGCCCTCCTCCTGAGGATGTGAAACCATGTGTCTTCTCTCTCCTCTCTGCTCATGGGAGAGCAAGGAGGGGCAACTCACCCAAAGAACCACCAGTGCAAAAAAGGCATTTAAAGACCCTTATTATTGCTTTAATAAATCTGGATCAGCATCATTTCTGCAAGAACAAGGACACAGGCTCACCTGTCCTCTCCCCAGAGGCCTGACCTCCCTGCAGTCAGTGTGCACACTTGCAACACAGCAAACACTCCTTCAAGCACATAAATCAAGTCCACACAGTAATTATTGCTCTCCTGGCTGTTGGTCCCACTTGACGCGCTCGCTGTGTACAGCCCCGGTTTGTAAGATGCAGTGGCTGGTTAGAAATCAAAAAGGTCATAATAAGACTAGAACACGGTTTTGTACTCCTCACTTCACAACACTTCATGTGCCAATGGGGAATACTCTGGGAGGGCTGCAGGGGCCCTCTTGGGCTGATGGAAAGAATGAGACAGGAAGCCCCACGGGAGCTCTGCTCCTTCTCTGAGCAGTGCATGGGTTTCTACACCTTCTTGTCTCCGCTGGGCTGCTACCCTCTCTCCACTGCCCTTCTCATTCTGCCTTCTCTGACATCCCTGGGGTTGCAGATGGCAACCAAAATTCTTCGTGCCCCTTGGGTGGCTGGTTTTCCTACTCACCTGCAAGCCTGGGAATGGTATGAAACCTTGGAGCTGCTGCTGAAGTAGATTCAGGCTGGCCCTGGCCAGGAAGGAGACAAATGCAGTCACACTGCTGGAAAGGCATGGAGGGATGTAGCCTCCGGAGGCCCTTCTGCAACCACACCAGGAGAGGACCATGTCTGCTGGAGTGAATCCTGGATCCTGAGGCAGGTCGTGGTTCAAGGAGCTCATCTGCCCTCACCCTCCACATCGCAGCCCTCCCTACTCACACTGCCCTGCAAGGCAGAGGCAAGGAGAGCTGCAGCTTTCCCTCTCCCCATCTCTCCAGCTGGTGAGCCAGTTAGCACGGACACAACACACATACTCATCCTTACATTTGCATGCACACACACATACACACACAGACCAATATTCCTTGCTCTCCATGTCCATGGTTGGCACTGAGCAGGACTTTGGTCCCAGCTACACTGATGCAAATCAGGAAAACACCAAAGGATGAAGGTGGTGCTGCAGAGGATGCAGACACACCACCAAACTGATGATGTTCTTGTAGGGTCTTTCCACTGGGACTTGGAACAGGGTTAGCCCTCAGCCGGGGACTGACTACATTTTGTATTGTTGAAGCCCCCTTTGCTTTTATTTATGTTTTTTAAATTCTAGGTTTTGTCTTCTTTTAATATATATATATAGCTATAGATACAAAAATAACAGATAGGTTTCTCTAGAGATGATTTTTGCACCTTTGGGCTTCTAAAATAAAATATCACAATTACTGCAAATGAAAGGGGGAAAAAATTCAGTTTCCTCTCCCCTTTTTACCTCTCCATCCCCTTCCACCCTTCCTCCGCTGCTCCAAATTTCCCCACATAGCTTGCAATCTTTTTTCCCTTAGAAGTTTTCTTTCTTTGGAAAACGAAAAAGACAAAAACCAATAAAGCAACAACACAAATATGCCATATAGCCTCCATTCCCTCCTCCCACGAGCATACCCGCTGTGTTCACACATTCCCTTCAAAGCAAGGCTTTTCACCTCAAAACGTTTTCCGTGCTCCATGGCTGTTTGCTTTTCCCTGCTGCCGGGGCCAGGTTTTCACCTGCTGTAAATCAGCGTGAGCCCACCTCAAGCCAGAGCTCTGCTGCTTTACACCAACAGGAGCGCACAACCGCGTTTTGCCAATTTACGCTCCACCTGAAGATATGGCCCATGGATTTTAATGTTTGAAATGGAAACATGGACAGTGAGGAAGTTCCCAGAAACAGGCAAGGCAAACTCCAGACGCTCTTCCCTTGCTGTTCCACGCTGCTTCCCTTCTCTTCGCCCCCACCCTCCCTGTTTGGCATAGCACCTCCTTCGGTCCCCATTTGCTTGTTCCTCCTTAGCACTTTCTGAAATTCATAATCTCTCAGTAAAAAAAATAAATAAATCGATCTCTATATATATGTATATGTATATATCTAAACAGCTGCCACGCAGCAGTCACCTGGCTGGAGGGTCCTGTCCCGACCAGCCCCATGGCCTTTTCTTGTCACTATAGTCTCTGCGGTGATGGTCCAGGTCTTGCCCTCAGGCAGGACTGTTCCCGTATTGCTTGCACTCTCCCACGCCTCTGAGGTACGGTACCAGAGTATTTATTCTATATATATATATATTCATGTATATATATATATTTATATATTTTTGTTTGCCTGGTTCTTTTTCTTGCAAATCCTTTGGAATTGCTGCTGGTGAGAAGCCAGTGAAACACGCTTCCCCATACCAGCGGCCGAACGCTCCCTCCCTGTGCCCCAGGGACCCTCATCTGTTCCTCTTGCTGACTCCATCGCCCAGCTCCAGCTCAGATGAGAGCGGAGAACCACGGCTCCCCGTCCCCAGTCTGCCGGGGCCATCCGCCTCCTCTCCTTCTCCAGGCGAAGGGGTGTCCTTGCAGAAGTCCGTCACCCAGGAGGGCATTGAGAGGAAGCCCCGCGGGTCAACGGTGTAGAAGGGCTTGGCGTGGTGGGCAGCGGGACGGCGGGGCGAGAGGCTGGCGTGAAGGCTGCTGGTGCTGCTGCACTTCTTCACCAGCGTCAGCCCCGGCGGCGGGGGCGAGAACAGGGAGGTCAGCGAGAGGCTGCTGAGGGTCTCCGAGGGCTCGCTGTTGTTGCCACCCCCCCGCAGGCTGCTGCCCACCCCCTCCTCATCCGAGGGGTCCATGGAGTCGTGGTGAGTGCAGCCGGGGCTGGTGCTCCCGCCGCTGCTGTGGCTGCGCTGGTGGCGGCAGATGCTTCGCAGGCTGAAGAGCCCCCGGCCCCGCAGGCTCCGGTGGCGGGAGGCAGGGGAGAGGGGGGCTGCCAGGGGTCTTTGACTGGTGGCAGCTGGCACGGGGCACAAAGCCACCGGGAGGTCCAGGGTGCACTGGGGAGAGTCGCTGAGGTTGAGGCTGTCCTCCAGCGTGGTCTGCAGGCTGCCTGCGGAGCTGCTGCTGCGGCTGTCCAGAGAGGTGTCGCTCTCGGGGGCCTGGGGAGAACGAGTGCAAATCATAGTTCTCAGGAACGGTATGGGCAAAGAGACTTTGCCTTTTTTATTTTATTATTTTATTTTATTTATTTTATGGTTTTTGGTTTTTTTTTTAGTGAAAATAAACCATAGGAAAAAAGGGAAAAAATCCAATTCCTCTCTCACTTTCCTCTGCTGGGGAGGGCACCTATAAACTACCTGACGAATGCGGCAAAGCACCAGCTCTGCAGCATGGCCAGAGGATTACCTTCTGGAGGATAAGAAAGGTTTCAATACTTTGAACTCTGATGTCATTCTGCTCAAGGATGAATCTTTCCCTCCCATGTGAAATGCTCTACCAAAGGGAAGGAGTGCTGGGTCTGTGAGTTCTGCAGCCCCTGCTGCCAGGCTGTCTGTGACCACAGGTGGTCCAGAATGCAGCAGAGCTAAGGTTTCCTGCGGGTCCTCGCTCCCAGCTTCCCTGTGGATCCTGCCACACAGGCTGCGGACTCATCAAAGCTGGCAGGAAGTCAAGGGACTTCTGTACGCAGACCTCAGGCTTTGTATATAGACCTCCTCTCGTTAAAAAATCAGCAATATTTCAGAATGGAAAAGAGGCCTCATGGTTCTGGCCAGCACTAGTGCAATGATGGTGTTTAGGACAGAAAAGTGGGGTCCAAACAGCCTTTATTTCCATGTGTCAGAGGTCAGTTAAGCTGTATTTCAGCTGCTCCTAGGAAACTGGTATGCACTGTGAGATCATCACTGGGACACAGCATTGGGAATGGTGCACATAGGACTGGGAGCAGTCTCCTGAACCATAGCTATTCAATACAGTCTGTATCACATAATCAGAAGTGTAGCAATTTCTCCTTTACAACAGTTCAGTACTTTTGCCCCAGTGATACACCAGCTCCAGAGCCCTTTCTCTTCTTGTGTCAGAAGTTTCGACACCGCAACAATTTAGTGGTCACAGCTTGAAGCTTAAATTTATCGTTGGTGAATTTATACACGTTTGTATTGTGCCAACGGTGTGTGTCGCATAGAACTGGATAACATCTTTTAAATGTATTGTTTAGTTTGTCTGGAATAGACTGTCCCTGTACTCCCCAAATGGGAATTGTTCCTGGAGTATTTTCCATGAACAGTATCAGGGATCTCTGTTGGACTTTCATCTCTGCCTCCTCTGCTCTTCAGAGACACTCAGTCTTCCCTAAACACTTCTATTCTTCTCTCTCGTTAGCAAGAAATAGCTGTCTTTTTAGAAAGAGACAGCACTTTTCTGGGATATAAGAGCTAAGAGGGCTGGGGAAAATAGCAAGCTCAAGGATGTAGTGTGTGGATGTGGCACGAAGGTCTGTGGAGGAGGCAGGTGGGGAGAAGCCTATTCCAACCAAAGTGTGTGATCTGGAGTCACGGCACTAAGAGGCTGTCATCTCCCTCACTCACACTGCAGCTGCTGTGCATGCAGGTGTCTGCAGCACACGTGGTGCAGGGGACCTAGGAGAGAGCTAAAAGTTGATGTGATTTTGTCTTCATGTAGGGCTGCAGCTGTCAAACTACTTTTTGATGCAAAGCAGAAGAATATACAATTTCAGGTGGTGAGAGCTATACAACACCGCTTTGCTATATAACCCTCTCTAGTCATCCTGCACTCTGCAGCCCACTGTGCTCCTCCAACAAGTTAGATCCAGGTTGCCCAGCCCATGACTACAGCTGCTTCTCTTCTTCCTCTCCTTCCTCTCCATTCAGCCCCCTCTATTTGGGTGTGCTGCGAAGATCAACCTTTCCTAGCAGAGGAAAGTGGAAGCCCTCACCTGATGAAGAAGTGTACAGTTCACACTCGGAGATCTCAGTGATGCCCAGGATCCTTGCAGAGAGATCTTAGGAAGGTTGTGTGTACATGAGACTTTCTCAGGCCCTGTTTGGTTGGCAGAGACAGCTGGGTGAAAAAATTCTGGTGGTACTGGTAACACTGGGCAAGATGCACCTGCAGAGAAGGGGCTGGGAGGGACTGACAAAGCACCAAAAGAAATGGGGGGGAGAACAAAAACAGAAAGAAAAAAATTAACTTGAAGAGTCCTCCAATTTGATTTGGTGCCCGCATTGCTACAAGTCCTACAAGTGCAATGTTTGGAGGATTTCAGTAACACACACTCCTGGCCAAAAAGCCTCAGTCTAGTGTTCACTCCGTGGGCTCCACTTTCTATGCAGGGACCAAAACCTACACCAGACCAGGAAGATTTACGCAGCTCAGAGCCATAAGGCAAGAGCTCAGCTTGTCTCTCCTGTTGCTGCTCTCACAGAGAAATACTGAGCTTTAAGGCCTTGATTCCACTATGTATCACTGCTAGAGGACTTTAATCCCAGACCCTGAAAGGCAAGGGATGAAGTGAGATGTATAAACTCGTAGCCTGGGGAACCTGGAACCAACAGAGGCCAAAGAGTGTTCTAGGGCAGAAGTGGAACACCTCCATTAAGAGCAGACATGTATTACATGTTCCCTGAGCCTGTACCTGAAGAACCTGGTCTCAGGGCACAGCAACATTTTACCAGGCCAAGTGAGCACAGTTCATCCACTTGATGCGTCAGGAGAGTCTGTCCCCACTCTTCTCTGACCGTGCATGGGTGCACTACTGTGAATGGGAATCAGCCCTTTCATGACACTTCACATAGGAAAGTCTGAGGGAGGATATAAGATCTAGCAGAAAAAGAAGGAACTGCTCCTCACCCCATTCCTGGAGGCTGGCAAACTGAAAGCTAGTTCCTGGTTAGTGTAACCCCATGTCACATTAGCTCCATTTCTGGCAGGGGAGAGGCAGGAGAAACGCAGAGGAGCTGAAACAACCCACACTTTCAGCAGGCCTGGAGAATAATCAGAGCTGTGCTCACCTTTGGTACTTTCATGCTTTAGCCAAGACTGGACTGAGTTGAAAGGAGCTTTCTCCATTTCACACAGGTAACTGTCTGGGTTTGTAGAACCATCTGCACTGGATAATGGCAGCAGGCATTCCCCCACATTGCCTACTCCATTGGAGTCAGGGCTGTCCTGGCCATCCTGCTGGAAGAAATGTGAGGACAAAGCATTGTGACATTTAATGGTGGACAACAAAGCAGACTTGTCAAAGCCTCAGGAAGGGCTGATTCTGAAGATCTAGCCCTAGGCTGATCCTTTGAGCTAGCTGAGATGCTTAGGTTTCCAGTCCAAATCCCCTATATTTAGGTTCATTTAGAGGAAGTTACTGACAGTAGTGAAGAGAACTTTCAAGAACATACATAATTTTTTTCTCCTCAAAAGCTTCTCCACAATATGTCTTTATGGAGAAGCTCTTGAAAAGTGACCAGAATTTATATTCCTCAGCAGGCACACTTGGATGAATACAGAGCACTTCAAATGAGCACGGGCAGAAATATAGCGCATAGTGCAATATCCCCATGACTGCCCGGGGCTAACCTTGGTGTCCTTAGGGCTCAGCTGAGAAGTGCTGCGATTGTCTGACTCATCTCCTAGAAGGATGGAAGAGGACTTGTCTGAGTTGAGAGACAATGCTTCTATTTCGGCCAGCTGGACCTGCAGGAAGGGAAAGGAGCTGTCACAGATCATATCTGGCATCCACGTTTCAAGCTGTCACATTGTTTATGGTGGGTAAGTGAGAGCCTGTAGACCTGAGATCAATTTTAGGTTATATTACTAACATACATACATAAATACATCTTTAAATGTTTTCTATATATACACACACATATGTATATATATGTTATATACATCAGGTACTGCCCAACCCAAATCTGGGCTGGGCAGGAAAATCCACTTTTCAGGGAAAGTTGAACATATGATCTGCAAGCAACCCACCACCAGTCCATGCTCCTCTAGTGCTAGAATTGGAAGAAGGAGTCATCCTGTGTCTGTCCCAGCAATACAGCTGGCACGAGGCCCTGCAACTAAAGCCAGGCAGGGAGAAGGCTCCCTCAGGCAGGTGACATGGCACCTGCTCTGCTGAGGGATGAGAAGTGGGACCTCTCTCTGAAGATGCCACGGACGGCCCTGCTTAAACATGAAGGTTCTTTCATTTCATGGATAGTCATGCCTCTTGCAGTCCATGCCAGTATCATGCTTTTCATATTCTCTTACCTTCATCACCCTCCAGCTCCCTGTGTCTTCCCTCACCTATAACCTACCCAAGAGCTCAGCTAACACCATCTCCCATCCTGATCTCCACCCTTAAATTCACCCCTCCTGCACAGTCATACTTGTGCTGTCTTGCTTTCTGAAACCAAATCTGACCACTGCATCTTTCTCAGACTTGAGCCTCGGCTCTGCTCCAGTCCTATGCCTGACTTTGATCCTTTGGCCTCTTTAATACCACATGTGCCCCTCTCCCATCCTCTTTCTTCCAAGCTTTCAGTTCCCCTCTACCTGGCATCTTTTCCCCACAATGCCTGAAAAGCATATCTTTTTCTAGTTGCCTAAGCAGCTGCTCTGTCCCTTCTGTGCTTGGCTTTCTGTCCCACCAGTTCCCAACACCAGCACCTGACTCTCAAGAGCTATATTTGAGGTTGTCTCAGTCAGGACAGCCTGCTTCCTGGCTATTTATCTTCTTCTCCCTTGTATTTCTGTTTGCAAGAGGCGGGTACAGCTTTTGTGCTGTAAGAGAAGGTAGAAAGTTTGGAGAGATGACCCTTTCGAGTTGGGAGTTTAGTGGCTTGTGCCAATGCCAGAGATGGAAGAGGGAAAAGGTCTCCCTTTGAGGGATAATGCACTTTGAATAAACAGGACGGAGAAACAGATCTGGATCTAAATACAGGGCACAAATGACATCCTTATTTGGGATATTATTCTGACACAGGAACATGGTGCTGTGAAGAGAGCCCAAAGCCAACAACTGCTGCTCAGAGAATGGGCGCACTGGAGAGCCCAAACAAAGTTATGTGAATTACACGAAACAGCCACCAGTCAACAACTACTTGCATAGAGAAACACAGTCTTCATTAAGTCCCACTTAGTGTGCATACTCATCCACTACTCTCCTAAGTGCTCATTACACCAGAACAGCCTTATAGCTGTACTTGTAGAGACACCAGCGCGAAATGCGGTAACATCTGCAACTACCTTCTCCACCCATAAAAAAGAGTTTCAACAAAAGCCAGAATAGTCTGCTCTTCACTGAACCAGTTGTTTGCAAATCCTGGCCACTACAGAAAAAAGCACAATCAACAAAGTCATGGAGAGATAAACTACATGTGTGGAAACATGGTTCACTCACTGACAAACTCCTACCGCTGGCTAAACTCAGCCACCAATACACAGATGTCTGTCAAATAGCCCAAGAGTGAAAGGATAGTGATGACAAGAAAAGAGGTTAGTGGCATGAAAAAAAGATGTTTAGTTCTTATAGCTTCCCTACTGAAGAATGTTCAATGTTGTGTCCATCCACTGTGCTCAGCATCTTGATGGTTTAAAGTACAAGCGAAATGGGAGTAAACATTTTTGGCCAATATGTGTTTTTTTGTCACCAGAGTGATTCAGCAGGCAGCAAACACACTATTTAATTGGAACACACATGCACTGAATAGCACTGCATAAAAACTGTTTTGCCTATACAACTTGCTGTTGATTGCTTCTGAGATAGTAAAATTCCTTCTGTGTGTATAATGCACATTCGGATACGTTGACATACCAGAGTACATTCTAGTTTAATAACTACATGCACTGCTGGTGTTAGTTCTGAGACTAGCTTAGCCTAGCTGTGACTCCATGTAGAGATTTCCTATTGAATTTTCCACAATGTTTTTTATATTATGAAATATTAAGAAAAAGTTGTAATCAACCATGACTTAAAATCCAGAGCTGCAGTTTTTATTCATACGATCAGAAATGAAATATATGATCAGAAACATCTACGCTTTACTACTACAGTTATTCATGCAGATACAGATAATTTCTTCTCAATTCCACATCTTAGATGTGTTGAAGTATCAGTTTTGAAAAATAATTTATGGCTCTATAACAGCTAGTGGAAAATATGATCTAAGAATAATTCCTTGGTTGTGATTATTCTGTTAAAGTCTTCACTGTGGCTGTGGGGGCTGTCTAGTTTCCTTGCTGGGAAGGTAGGAAAATCTGTTGTTGTCTTAACTCCTAGGCAGGGTACTGAAGACTATGTGAAAGCTTTTCAAATGTAGCAAACTAGTTGCAGATGACTTAACTTGGGAGTAATTATTGTGGAGTGCCTTAGAAGACCTGATTTTCTGAGAAGGTTGAGCACCAAATGCTGAACCTAAGGAAAGCGATGGAAACTGTAGTTAATTGAAACCTAGTTATTTGGCTTCACTAATGCAGCATCCATTTGCGAAGTGTTGCAATACAGATAAACTGCAGCAATATTCTCCATTTGATGCTTTCAAAGGGACAAGCAGATAGCTGAAAGGCTGAAAAAAAAATAGAGCATCAGAACTAGGCATCTGAAGCCAAAGAAAATATTGTTTTCTTCAAACATGGAAAGAATAATCTGCCAATGAGAGCTCTTTTCCAAGTTTCCTGGTTTCTTTACAAGCAATAGCAACATATCAAGTTAGCTATGGGGAAGGAGGCAGTTAAGATTGCCACTGATGTACCAATTTACTGTCAGATGAGCCACAATCATAGCACTTAAATACAATAAAATTATTGCAAAACCAAAATGAATTCTGCTACTCACCTAACTTCTCCCAGACTACTTTGCTCTAAAAATTTCAGAACCAGAAAATACTGATTGCTTAGGAAGTAGTTTTCCAAACACCTACTAACTTTAGGAACACAAGTCCAAGCCATTTGGTGTTCTGCTTTTAGCAACAACTCATTTGTCAGCTAACAGGTTCTACATCAGAAGTGACTCTCAAACTTCCTCAGTGGGACCATTTTTATTTAGTTTTCGCTCAAACTAATTAACTGGTTTTCACCACACACCAATTCTTGCTCACAGACGGTGACTCTTCAACAAGACATTTAAGCATGTGCTTAATTCATTGACCTCAACAGGGAATAACCTAGCACATGTTTAAAATGAAGACAAAACACATGCTTGAATCTTCCACTGAATTGCCTCCAAGTGCTGTCATTGGGGTGAGATACTTTCACTCCTTCATTCAATAGGAGCTTGAACCTCTGCTTTTCTTGCTGAATTGAACACAACAAGAGCTGCCAGGATGCCTTCATAGTCACTTCTCTACAGCTTAATCAGTCCCTCCTGATTCCTGTGTCCTGTCACATCTCACCTCTCCATCATGTCAAACATTCCCCTGCAGCTAAGGAGGGCAGGCCTGTGCTAGAGGCAGTATCAGCAGTTCATGACAGATGACAAACACAGGTCAACAAGCTCTCTGTCTACACAATCTACAGCCAGGAGCACACATCAGATGACCTGCGGGCATGTAGGTGTGGGTGTGCAGGTCTTGGGGGGACAGTCCCCTCACGCATCCTCGCACGCAGGTTACCTCTTGCTTGTCATGGTTACACTTCTCGCACATGGCCGGCGAGGAGTAATGATGGAAGACGGAGCCCGATAGGTTATCGATGATCATTAACTCCCCGTCGAAGGAGTCCTTAATAATTAAAGAGACACTGTCCAGCCATAAGTTCTCCTAGGGGACAAGAAAGGGGGGAGGATGGGAGAGATCATTTTAAGAATGCCGAGCTTTCTGCTTCAAAGTTTCATGTGAATTTGGGGCTGGGTTCTCCACCCTGACTCATCTGGAACAGCACCTTGTTCTGCACAGGGTCACTGGGGAAGCGTTTGCTCCTTAAGGTGTGTAAAGGTGCCAGAGTTCAATGCAAAAAAAGGAAGGAGGGACTGTCTTCACTCACTGTCAGTGCACCACAGCACTGCTCACGCCTCCTCTCCAGCTCTGCTGGAGAGCCTCACTCTTGATCTGACATTTCTCCTGCTCTCTTCTCCTGAGCTCCCCTCTCAAATTTGCTTCCTAACACACCTTTAACTGATCTGCTCCATTCCTCCTCTGCTGGCCCTCAGGTTCCTACACCATGATGACATTAAACAGGACCCACTGCTGTCACAGCCTTGTTCCCACATGATGCTACCACTCAAAAGTCTACCACTGAAAGCAAACCTCTTACCCTGAGGCGGAAGCATCTATCTGCTACTGCTAACCCTTCGGTCATCTAGGCTGCCTAGCTTCTCCCCACAGCTACTTGCTACAGTCTAGTTGGTAAGCGCAAAGGTTTACTCACCTGTGCTGGAGAGTAACACCTCATGCACAGACGTCCTTCAGGATCTGTTTTCCCACCGCCTCCTCCTGTTCCTGCTCCTTTTCCCTGTCCTGAATTTGGGGAGCCTGACTTGCGGGAGCACAGCCCATGTGTAAATTCCAGCTCAATCTCAGCATCCATCTCTGCGTCCTCCTGGGCTTCCTTGTTGCTGTCATCAAGATGTTTCATGAGCACAGCTACCACCACATTGATGAGGACAAACTGGGCTGTGAGCACAAAGCTGACAAAGTACAGTGGGGAGATGAACTGCAGGTTGCTGAGGCAGCTCCGGTCATCGTGGCTGCAGTCACGCAAAGTATCCTTGAGGGGAAGTTGGGTTTGAGAGGGAACGATGGAAGGAAGGAAGGACTAAAGTAAGAATACAAACTTTGCTGCCCTTTCTGCCAAAAAACACTGATGCCCATAGAAAGAACAAGGTAAGCTTTCCCATCATCCCACACCCTCTGGGATCATAAGGTCTTCAAAGAAACTGGGATACTATCTGACCATGTGTTTTCTGCTTCAGAGTAAATACACACAAAAGCGTACAGAGCAAACTACTTCCAGACCATCACATGTTGCTGCCACTGTAACCCCACACATGTGAACAAGAACAAAAATGAGCCATCTGGGACTGCCTTCTCTCATCCAGACTCAAAAGCACAGTATGTGATCAAAGAACTTTCCTCTCTGTATGTCCTTTGAAGGATGTAAGTTTTTATTTTGGATTGCCCCAGTAGCTCTGCAGATGGGCCCCATGTTCACTGCATCTACATTCAGCTTTGGTAATAGGCCTTATGATAGTGGATGTTCCCTCTCAGCCTGGCCAGCCTTCTTATTCCTTCTAAGAAGGATTTGCACTATTCTCAGCCAGATGACTGGCTAGAGGACTAGATGAGTCCAAGATCTGAGTTACCATGGTGGGGAGGGAGATCCTGGCCCAAGCAGGACCTTATCTAGCAACCCAGCTTCTTTGCTCCTTCTCTTTTCTAGCCCAAGCACTTCTGAACATCAGAATTTCTCCTTCCCCACAGTAAGGACATCCACACCCCTGAGGCCCAGTTACCTTCATGATTCCATTCCAGTTGTCACCTGTGGACACCTGGAAGAGTGTGAGGAAGGCCATCCCGAAGTTCTCAAAGGTGGCATGACGGCTCATGCCCTCACAGGGGTTCTCATCATTGCATACTGAAAGGAAGGGGATAGCAGCTATCAGTGGAGGACACAATGCCAGCCCTGAGATCAATAGCAGGAACTTCAGGATTCTCACAGCCTGGAGACCTCAGGTAATGGCATTAGCACACTGCCCAACAGTTGGTCTTTTGCAGAGCAATGCAAAAAAATCCCTGATGGTCCAGCCCCAGGATCCCAGACAGTGTAACTCAGCTGCTCAGGGGTATCCTCCCAATGTGTCATTGTACTGCCTTTTTTCTTGATCTATGTTCCATGGCAAGAGATGTAAATAAACTTTCCCTGAGTTTTTCTTGTACTCTTGAAGGCAGTATCAAGGCAGGCAGTGCAGAAAAAGCAAAAGTTTAAGAACGCAAGAGAAGCCAAACACTGCCTTTGTTTTGTTAGGCCAATAACTATTTAGAGGGAAATTTGTTTTATATCAATTACGCATAAGGGAGAATAAAGGCCACCAAGTAATTCAGTACCTTTATTGAATGAGTACTGATTTTGAGAAACCTTAGCTTCCCAGCAGGCCTGTAGCTAACACTGGAACATGGTCTGCTTGAGACTTACCCAGTTTTCCAAAGAGCTCCACTCCTAGAGCAGCGTAGATGAAAAAGAGGAGCATGAAAAGGAGTCCAAGGTTTCCCACCTGAAAGCAAATGGCACAGTCAGCCTACCCCAAAGCCTGTTTCATCTGTATAGGGAAGTGTTTTTAATCTTTCAAAGCCTGGAGAGAACAGCAGCAAATTGCCAGTGTACAAAATTCGGCCAAACAATTCCTCAGCACTTGGGAAATCACCAGTGGTGGCACCAGTTGCAACTGGACTTGAAGGATGCTCTTTTCCCAGTTGTCTCCACACCAGCACAAGCTGGCCAGGGCTGACTAAAGTGTGCAGCATCTGGGCCAGGTGAAGACAAGCACATTGGTGCAGGGGCACAGAAGGTGAAGCCAGTCTGGCTGAGTGAAGGACAAGCTGCGGATTACAGCACACATACATGACTTGCAGTGCTATATGCTCCACCAAAACTGCCTAAGTCCCCTGAAGTTATGCTCATGTGAAAAGTGCAACAGAAGTGCTCCAAAGAGACAGTGACACCAGCTCCTGCTATGAACCAGGCAGAGCATGGTGGGGCAAGGCACCAGCTATGTATGGAGGTTACAGCAGTGCTTTTAAAAGGAGTAGGGAGGAGGGAAGGAAGGAGGGTAAAGAGGCACTCTTGAAATGTGTGGAGAAGAGAGGAGACTGGAGGAGTCAAGAAGCAGAGCTTCCTTTGCATCTCATGAATAATAGGTCAAAGTCTGATTTCTGGGCTTCCAACAGCTGCTGTTTGTAAACCTCTCTCCCAAAGCAAGGATTGCTGCTTTGTGGTGCATAAAGGCAGCAGTGCACCAACAATATGGGCACTGTCCCCAGGTTCTCACTCTCCCAAATCACTGCCTGCCTCTGAATCTCCGGCCTCTCAGCATGTGGGGCAGCCAGGGGCAGCAGGAGGCAGGCTGAACAGTAACAGAAAATGGAAGTAATGGTTAGCACACTGTTGGTGGAGCAATAGGAGGCAGAGAAAAAATGAGGACCTAAGAGGTATATGGGTGGTTTTGAAGAACTGAACAGTGTCTGGTCATTGTCTGAATGCATGTAGTCATTGTGCCTGTGTTAGGATCATCCACTTCAGGAGTCTAATTTAGTCATTTTAACCGCTGTGCCATCCAAATTCAGGAGAAAGATAAATGACTCAGCCTAGGACCAGAGCAGATCTCCAAGGCTTGATCTGAGGTCCCAGGTGTGCTTTTTGCCATTCTGAGCAAAACCCTTCACTGCCTGATGACTCAGTTTCTCCATCTTCATGACAGGGATATGAACATTTCCTGCTTTCTTCTTTATTCTCTGTATTTTGGGGGTAGAAGTTGGGTCTCATCATTTTAGTGCAATTACACTGCAAAGTCCTCTTACCAATGGCAAGCCAGCTCTTATTATCTGTATGCATTTATCTGGGTTGCAGAATAAACATGCCACAGACGTGCAGATGCTGGATCTGGAGACCTGCTCCAGACTCAAGACCTGCTCGAGTTACAGATCCTCACCTGAGAAAAATCAGCTTTTGTGGCTCCTGGAACAGAAAAGAGCCAGGTGCAAAGGAGCTGCATTGATGGAACTAATAAACATTACTGGCCCAAAGCTGCCTGCTGTAAGAACACCCTTAATCTCCTGTTCCTTCATTGCCCAGTGTATCTTAGCCCCCAACTATCCTGGATGATAATATTATTATATATCCTGCATAAGAATTATGTAATTATTATTTTTAGACAAAACCACAAATTATTATTGTGTAATAAAAGACATGGGAGATGAGAGCTCAGGATCCATAAAAGATTACAGTGGTTTCCCCTTGCTTTTGCACCATGAGATTTGTCTAATTCAGATTGACATTTATTGTCACCAACATCAGAAGTAAACTCCTTGGGTAACTCCTCATGCTGTTTTCAGATTGATTCTCAGCTCTGCATCACTCCTTGAGACTGGCACATTAACTGATAAATCAACTGACTAATGCTTGTGCATTTTGATATCATGCAATATAGCTGTTTGCTTGGGGTCTGCCAGGGGAATGGTCTGATATATGATCAGTAGAGCCACTTGGTACCATTACTCCTCGCTTAACAATTCTCTCTCAAGGATGCAGAAGGAAGGGGACCAGTTTCCCTGGCTGTTCATCCATCACAGAGGATCCTCACAATGGGCTTGAAGCCTGTGTAAAGCACCATGTCAGCATCTCATTCGGGAACAGCTGCCTCTCACAGCTCATGAAATCCTTCTGTCTAGCTGTCTTGCAGTAGACACTTAACTGCCGGCTGCGTGAGCCACAACAGAGCGCGTCACTGCTCCTCATACATGAGAGGCTCAGAAACACAAAGGGATCCAGGAGGATAAAGGAAGAAAGTAGAAAGGCAGAGGCACTGGCTAAGAAAAGGAGTGACACGAGTGTGAATGAAAGAGAGGGAAGGAAACGGAGCACATGCCGGAAAGGGAGAGAGGGGCAGAAACACAAAGACATCTTTTCCTCCTGAAATGGCTGCAGTCACTCTTCCCTTTTTATGGAGAGGAGAAAGAGAGGCTGGGGACTAGCCCTAAGCAGTTAGACACTAGCTACATGCGATGGGAAAAACAAAATCTGCCCTTAACCAGGAATCAAGCTTTGTATCATTCACCCACTGGAGAACAGAGATGAGAGGTGAGCTGTACCCCCGTGTTTGACATGATAACCTGGACAACACCTATCTGAAGAGAGATGTATCTCTATGAACAACATGAAAACTTGGACAAACAACCTTCAGGCAGTTGCCTGCACAACACAGTAGACACCACCTCTGAGCCTCCGCAAGAATCAACCCTTCTGAAGAAGGGTGCAGAAAACGAGAGTGTTTAGGAGAGCTGGTCTGTTTTACCTGTGGCAGAGCTTGAACAACTGTATCCAGCAGTGCTCGCATTCCTGTGGCCATCTTCAGTAGCTTCAGGACTGCCACAACAAGCACAAGACAAGTGTCACTCAGGCTGAGCTCAGGAGGTCCATCCTTTGTGTGACTTACTAATAGCACACTGTCTTCCCTTGCCCTAGAATAAGCTGATTGTACCCCTTTAGCTCCTTTCTCCCTTCTTTTGACTCTACAGCCCTGGTGGTTCTTTCTCCTCCAGTCCACCTCATTCTTACTAATTGCTGTTTCTTCCACCCATGCCTATCGGGCTTCCTTTGCTTTATCCACAGTCTGGTCAAGAGCCCTCTTTTTTACAGAAATATGTATCACACAGTTCTCCCTCTGCGCTGATTTCACCACTTTCTCTTCTACCAGCTCTTAACTGTTAAGGCAGCTTAGCACACCTTTACCACCACCAGGAAGATTCTGTCCCCTCCCTGAGCAAACTTCAACCTGCTTGGTGACCCCTTCTCCAAACACCACTTCCATACTTGCCTCATAAAAGAATAACAGGGAAAGTTCAGCTCTCACATGATCTGCTCGCCCTCCTGGTCATTCAAGTCCTGTTAAAATCACTGCCTCTAAATGCCTGGCTAAGGGAAATCAGAAAGCCTTAGCCTCTAGGCAGTCCTTTGCCACATCCGCTGCCTGCCTCCCTCCAAGGGTTAGAGACAGGGTGAGCCCTGACTCTACAGCCACTGTTCAATGAGTCATGGCACCGAGTCCCACTCCACAGCCACCTACACCCCTGCCTCTGACCAGCGTCTTTCTCACCCCGTGCAATACGCAGCACCCTCATGATCCGGATGATAGTGGGGTTAATTGGGAGAGCAGCATTGATTTCAATCTCTTCCAGTGTGATGCCCATGACAGATAGCAGCACAATGGCCAGATCTAGCTGGTTCCACCTTAAGAAATAAAAATTAAGAGAATAAAGGAAGATGGAGCTTTTCCATTTCTCTAAAAAAGAAAGTGAATTGTCTTCACTTCAGCCTAAATATTTCTTTACACATGAGTTCAATGCCCCACTCTGAGTCAGCCTGTACAGGCTTTTGCAGACAAACAGAGATTCACTTTGCACACCCCATGAGCAGCCAGAGGCAAGCCAGCGTGATCTGAAAGCATGGAGCTGTGTTACTATGGTGCTATGCTTTGACTAATGGGCTCAGCTTTTTACAGCCTTACTACCTCGAATCAGCTTCCTTATATACGTTCTGCTTCAGCATGCGCCCAGTTTGCCTCAAGCTAAGGAAAAAATGGCTCTGTCTAACCCCACCTCCTTTGCTTTCTAGCATAACCAGCAGGCGCCAACCAAAAGGCAATTTTTGGACAACTCTTACTATTGTCTAGGCAATGCAGCTCATGTGGGCTGACTCTAGGTCAATGCTGTGCAGAACTGAGAGCCAGTCAGGGCACTTATTCCAACTCGCACTCCGGATAGGGCTCCATCCTCAAAGCCACTGCAAACCCAGTTGTCCCACAGCCGCAGCTGACATAAGCCCCTGCTCACCTGTCTTTGAAGAATCTCCGCAGACCGAATGCCACCAGCTTGAGGACTGCCTCAAAGACAAAGACAGTGGTGAACAGGTAGTTGCAGTACTTGAGGGCGGTCTCCAGGGACTGCCAACAGAAAGAAAGGGAAAAGAATAAGGCAAAAGCAACATCAAGCACATAACTTCTGGGGGGACTCTCCTGAGTGCCAGGAATTCATTAGGAGATGGGGAAGCTGTCCCATGCCTCCCACCTATTTGAATGTGGAGGTTGCCAACTAAGGGCAACTGCCAGCTGTCTCCTCTGCCCCATGTTGTCCTCAGGATCTGTTCTTGCTCCTTTCTCCTGTACTGCTCAGCATAACAGGGATGAGGAAGCTATTGCCAGGGGAATCCACCAAGTACCATCAGCATCCTCTGCCATTAGTTCATGACAACTGGATGACACCATGTTAACAGCACTGACATAGCTATCAACCAGGAGTGAGGCACAGAGATTACTCCAGCTGTGGATACATGTCATCTCTGATGGGAGGAAACCCCTCTGTGCCTTGGTCTGGGGCAGGTATATGTCCTATCTCTTAGCTGTTGGGCTTCTCGTTCCTTTATGTGCTGCCCCTTCTCCACCACCAAGGGCCAGTGTGAGCAGTGGGCAGTATTTGGTGGCACTTTCTACTAGAAGGGTTTGAAGAGCTTTGGGAAGATTCCTTAGCAGAGACTGACAGCAGGCTGGCATGGCTGGACCTGCATTCCAGGGAAAAGAGCTGAGGAGTAATGAAAAGGAGTGACTTGTTCAGAAACAGAAGCCTGATGTGAGGATGGTAACAGATAACAGTTGAGAGTTCCTGCAGAGGAAAACTGGGCACCATCAAGGGCAAGATAAAAGCTGGGCAGTTGGGCAAGATGGGCAAGAAACAGAGGAGACTGACAGTAGATTTGAATGAGGACAGGCAGATTCAGTTCTTGATCAAAGCCTGAACTACCTTGGATAGCACCTGCTCGCACATGAGAACTGTCACCTAAACCAAGGGTCTCCTGAAGCAAAAACGTAATACCACTGGACAGATACCATGATGAATACTTTGTCTACATATTGAGGCAGAAACCTCCTTTGACATGTAGAGAATACATTCTTTTTCCATCAAAGGCATCTATACCTTTGCCAGGAACACTGGGAGGTACATGGTCTTCCCCAGCCAAAAAAGTACAAAATTTATTTGGCCTTCAAGGCTCTTTACTGGGAATCACACCCTGCAGCTGAAAGAAGCTCTGCTCAGCACTTTGGTGCTGCAGCTCCTCTTATGGAGCAAAGGTGGCTTGGTGAAGACATCCCATCCCATGACATGCAACCAGCCACCCTAGTACCCTCAGCTCAGGCCATATGATACTAACGTTTGGAAATCTGATGCAAAACCTGGAGCTCCCAGGACACTGCTGCTTCCATCACTCCTCCTCAGAATCCAGGGAACAGAAAAAGCAGACCAGGCAGCTAAATTTGGATGACCCGCATATCCCATCAATAGAATATAAAGCACAGAGACTTAATTGCACCATGCTTTCTAGGGGCCCGACTCTTGCTTAGATGACTTCTCACTATTAATTTTAATGGATAACAAGTTTTTGAGTAGGGGCTATCTTTATTCATACATATGAAACTCTTCACAAAACCTGACCTACTAGATTAAATCCTGCAACTCTTAACAGCATTTTTTAGAGGCACTCAAGTGACCTACCTATGCTGGTGGTTATCAGGCAGCAGTTGCAAAACAACATAATAACTAGAGGCAGGGCTTATCTCCATGATCTCACTCACCACAGGTTGGTTGTAGTGCTCCAAGGACATAGTGACCACGTTGAGGCAGATGATGAAAGTGATGAAGATGTCCAGATAGTGGCTGGTGCAGACCGAATGAATAAGGAGGCGTATGGGGCAGTAGGTAGCATAGTACGGCAAACGCTGCGCCTCTTCAGTGGAAAGAGGGAGATGGGCAGAGTTAGGAAGAAATTGGAAGAAAGAGAGAAACACTGATGAGGAAGCAGGCATAAGAGTGGTAATAGGTGTTGAAAGGAAAGGGAATAAAGGTGGGATAGAGAAAGAACAGAAAAGGATAGGTAAAAGATAGGGGACACAGGAAGGAGGGAAAAAAGTGCAAAAAAAAAGAGAAAAGTAGAAGTGGGGAAAAAGAAGTCGAAAAAGGACAAGGAAAAGAATGCTAGAAGGAAAATCTGTTAGTCTATGTTCGTGGGAATGGTGCTAAATCAGCATTTCATGTCTTGACAAATTAAGATCACAAATGACAAAAGGGAGCAGATGGTTCCAGGAGAGGCCCCAGGTTCTCACAAGGAGAGGGAAAATCTGAAGCAGAGGAAGGGAAAGCATGCCCACAGGCTGTGAATGGAAGAAAACCATCAGTTTGGGGTAGTAAGGATGATTTCCAGGGGCAAGTATGCTTTCTCAGTTTTTGTCTGAAGGTAATACAGAAGAGCATGGAAACACCAGGAAGAGGGCTCACTTCGCCACAGTGGGTCTGGGACCCAAGGAGTGACGCTACAACACGGATAGAAAGAGCCAGGAACAAAACACCTCTTCTTCATATTTGGGGTTAAACACAAAGGATGGTCTGTCCAGATCTTCCCCCAAACACCCTCTGGGTTGTGCAGAAGCCCAGGTGGGACTATCCAAAGCCCAGGAGGTGTACCACTGCGTGTATGTCCTATTTCGACAGTGCATGCCAGCATGTGCACAGGGGTATTTTTGGTACATGTTATCTCACAAGGGGCAGGGTGTTCAAATGCCAGCAGCTTCCCCAGAGTCCCAGCACTGTCAGGCACCCCTCTTCCCCAAACCGCCCTGGTGAGGTGCATAGTGACACAGCAGTGGCAGTGGGAGGAAGGCTGAGAGCATGGCACAAGCGATGCAATTGGGAGACCAGTCCATTGTGAAAGAAAAAGAAGAGGAGAAGGTTTTTCTTAGAAAACCTTGGCCTACGAACCGACCAAACACTTAGGCTGTGCCTTACTCCTTCGCTTCTTCTCCAGGCGGCGCAGGCGCTTCTCTTCCCGACGGCGTGCTTCCTCAGCCTCCTGGTGCTGCCGGCACTTGTGGAAGTTCTCCACCACCACCCCCACGAACATGTTAAGCACAAAGAAGCTGACAATGAGGAGGAAGGATATGAAGTAGAGGAGCATCCAGGGGTTGTTGTTGGTCACAGGCTGGAGGAGGAGGGAGAACAGAGGCGGTTAATTGGTTGGGTATGTGATTGTATGGAAATGATGGGAATGGGACCTGCCATGGTAATTAGCTGCTGGGGAGAAATTATGGAAATCAGGGGAGTGGGCTGAGAAGAGCTGGGGCTACAGGAAGGGCAGCTTGTGATTGGTTGACTGGATTTTGGCATCAGCTAGCGACTGATGGAATGAGAGGGAGTCCAGGTCCCATCTCTGCAGTCGTTTCTGCACAGTCACCCGTAATTCAGACACAACCCCAGCTGTAGGTTGAGTACATCAGTATGTGTGTAAAGGGTACAACCTTTACCAATATGTGGTAAAATGGGTGGCCGGGCACTGGGAACACATTTGGCTTGAGGACAAATGTGAGACAAATTCGGTTCGAGACCACATTCATGCACCACCAAAATGGCAATGAGAATGGAACAGAAATGTCATGCAGTCTTGGAGATAAAGCAGGCCCCGACTTTGGCTGGGGAAAAAAGCCTACAAAGCCAACAGTGGTACACCTTGTCCAGAGGTTCAGAGGTAAATGGAGCATCATCCCTGAGGTTCAAGCCTGTGGTACTGCACCCCAAGGCAGGTGCCTGCACTGGACACTATCAAGGTCACTGCATTAGCAGTAGAGCAATAGGGATGCAGTGGGCATCAGCCCAATAGTCCCCGCTTTACAGGGTATTAAAATAACCATCTGTGGACCAGAAGAGAGCCAGCATGTCCGGACAGGCACAGAGAGCCAATAGACAAGGGCTTGCTGTGAGATCCAAACTCAGTAGAAGGTGAAAATTACCAGAAATACCCACTTGCACAGCCACAGCCGCACTTCCCAGCATGGACCAGGCATGACCCTGACCCCTTGCAAATCAGTGAGCAAAAGATTCAGAAGGGCCATGGAAGGGACTCCTGCTTTGAGGGAGGTGTCAGAAGCAGGACATTAAAGCATGCTTCTGCCTGAGGAAAGTGAAAAAAGGTCCTTTCACAAGGAAGCTTTTGTACCTGCTGGTCAACAGCCACAGCATCTAGTCCGTTATACATAATATTGACCCATCCATCCTTGGAAGCCAGAACAAAGAGGGACATCAGAGCCTGCAACATACAAAGAAAAGCAGATGTGGAGCAGGTGCACCTGTCAGGATGGGGAAAAAAAAAGGTAACTCATGGGTTTACACTCTAACACACACAGTGTTGAAATACTCTTCCTGCCTGTGTCTCTGCACACATCAAAAACTGCTTCTTCCCCCATGGAGGGAAAAGAGGGGGGACAGGAATCCATGTGCAGCCAGACCCACCAGAGGAGAAAGGTTGTGAAGAACATCTGCTTCACAGCAGGAAGAAAAAGAAAATCAAGCTCTCTGCTGCCACCACTTTTCCGTGCAACCTGTAAGCATCATCCTGATTCCAATCCGCTAGTGACACAGTTCTCCATGGTGAGTGTGATTGTGATGGCTTGACTTCGTGAACGAAGATTTGGGAAGGGCTTTACCTATGCTTACTACAAGCGCGTTTTACTTCTGCATGGATACCCATGCTTAATAACCACCAGTCAGGGGTCAGGTTTCCCAGGCACAGCATCTGTGCCCCAAGGAGGGGTACATATAGAAGGAAACGAACTCTATGCTGGGTTCCTATCAGAGGTAGAGGCTGTGGGCACACTCACCTGTCCCAGGTTGTCAAAGTTATATTTGTGGTGAACCCACTTGTAGTTAGCTGCCATGCAGTCGGACCGGTTGGTGATGTTCCTGATGTCGACTCCCAGGCAGTGGTAGAACTTCCCTTTGAAGAGCTGCAGCAGAGGAAAGACCCATCAGACCCTTTCTCCACAGGGTTCTCCATGCTACCTGGGATGTGCAGAGGCTCCCGAGATGTTGGGTTGGCTGCGGGGCTGCAAGCCACATGGAGCATGACAGGTAGGGGGGACCACCAGCGCAACACAAGGCAAAGCTCAAACACTGCTAAGGAGCCAGGGCCACCCTCATAAACCCACAACTGGCTTTTCAGCCTCCTTCACTGCCTCAGGCTAGCAGTGATTGTAAACCCTTACCATCTGGCAGCCTTTAGTGCAGCCTTTTGGGGTGCAATTAGAGTCACAAATCTATTCAGTCCCCAAGAGTAATCTTCCTTCTCTGCTTCCCAGTTACTGAGAGATCTGATGGGAAAAGATCTCATCTGAGGGTAAAGAATCAGAAAAAAACATCCCCTGCTTCTCAGATACCCTTTTTTCACAAAGCTGCACTGCACTGCTGTGGCTCTTCTGCCCAGGGCTCCTTTCCCCATATGGAAGGTACTGGATTGTGCATTTGTACAGATGCATCAGAGCAGACTAAGTATAGCGCATTCCCCGAGATGGAAATAACACCCACACCCTTGCTCCTCTGCAATGCAACAGCCGAAAATAAAGAGGATTAAACAAAAAAAAAAAAATTAAATAAAAGGTTGTGGGTGGATTTAGGGCTCACAGTGAGGGAGAGAAATGGAGCTGACTGATGGCAGGGTTCATGCAAGCAGGTATTGAGCTGCTTGATCTTGTGGTATGACACAGACGTGCCCAGTGAGCCCTGTGCTCTGCCAGTCCTGGACTCTCCCTGTAATGCTGACCCAAACACTGATCCAACTCCTGCCAGGTGTAAGCTTCAACTCCTGTCTTGCACACCCAGCAAAGCCTGCACTCATTGAGTGCCTGGATGTCCTTGCCAAATGCTGCGGGGACATTATGGTGGGATACAGCTCATGGAGGAGGACAGATTCAGAACATGTCCTGGTTTGCCTGTATTCCTGCTCTGCTTGGCTCCCTGTGCCTGTTGTAGCATGTGGGGGTACAGGCACCCATGGTAGGGGCACAGGGGCAGTTTAATGGGTAGTAACAACCTACCTGCACGCCCAGGATGCCAAAGATGATGAAGAAAGCACAGCAAATGAGGACAATGTTTCCTATGGGCTTGAGGGAAGAAATGAGCGTCTCCACCACCAGCTTCAGGCCAGGGGCTCGGCTGATAACCCTGGAAGGGAAGGACAGGAAGGGATGATAGAGGGACAGGATAGGGATGTTTGGCCGAGGCTAAACATTTTGAGCAGCAGCAATGGACCTCTTTCTCCCTGTCCAGTGACCCATCAGGGGGATCACTCTCCTGTGACCAAAAAGCCTCTTCTGTGCCATGGGTTGGTTGTCTGATTAGGTACCTCCATGGCTAGAGCCATAAGGGGAACCTCCCTGAGGTTTATGGCTTGTCAAAGACCACCCTTTGCTGGGCACAGCTGGAGCTGACTCTGAGACCCTTGTTGGGGAGGGCTGGTGGGCAGAAGGGAGAAGAGCAGGGCTTGGTGGGGCTCTGACCGGAGGGGACGCAAAGTGCGCAGCAGCCGGAGGACTCGCAGCACCCCCAGGATTTTGGCTCCACCAGCAGAGGCCACTGAGACCACAATGTCAATGAGAGACACGAAGACCAAGAAGCCATCCAAGATGTTCCAGCTGCTGCGGAGGTAAGCCTGATCCCCAAAATACAGGCCTAAAGAGACTACCTGCAAGAGAAGGGAGAAGAGAGGGAGTTAAATGGCTCCTCTCCACATTGCCCTGGTAGAGGGACACTGTAGAGAGAGGAGGAGGATGGAGAACAGTTATTAACTCCACATGACACCAAAGTGTCATCTCATCTTTCACCTGGAAGGCTATGAAAGAAAATGTCTTTGGGGAAAGCGGTGGCATGTAACTCCAGAAATAACAGGATCATGGAGTCTTCTCACCTTTCCTTTGCCTCTCTGAGGAACAGGACACTGTAGGGAACGTGCAGAAAACCTTTCCCTGTCATACCACAGGCCTGGGACACATCTCCCAGATCAGAGATCACCTGGGAGGTAAAATCCCGCACCAAAACCCATACTTTGATTCTTAAGGGGGTAGTTTGATCCTCAGGAGTTCTCAACACCAGCAAGTGCTACAGAAATCTCTGGTTTTGGGGAAAGCTGAATACCCTGTAAATCGTGGCCATAATTCAGATATGAATTTTAGGGATTTAATTTCAGGTGCCCAGTTTTAGGACTCTTTCCCAAACACAAAAGGGGAATAACAAGTTTTCTCCATTGTTGAAATGTATTTTGGCACCTACTGAATAATTATCTGAACTAAGAGCGTGTTATTAATATTGTTATTTCCCCCATTCTTCCAGAAATGGACATTTGACAACATTACAAAATCCATACCTGAAGATCAGCTATTCCTCCCATATACTAAGATCCCTTTGGATTTAAAGCCTAGGATAAGCATCCCTTCCACTCCTGACAAGAAAGAACTCAGCCCCAGGTAGTATCTGCTTTTACCAAGGTAGAGGGAAGGACAGGCACACTTGAAAAGATGGGGGCATTTTAAAAGTGTGCTGACCAAAGGCAAGCCTGGAGTTGTTCCTGACACTAGGAAAAGGCTCTGAGCTGTCCATGTCCAGTAACTTACCTTCAGTGTCATCTCAGCTACAAAAATTGCTGTGAAAATGTAGTTGGACACAGTGAGAAAGATTCTCTCCTAGAAAAAAAAAAAAATAGAGAAAGGCCTTAAATGTGTCTTGAGTTCTTGTTACTTTGTCAGGTCCCTCCGATGAACTCAATATATTTTGCTTTCCTGGGGAGGGTCTGAAAGTTGGGGAGATGTGCCCTTGGCAATGGTCAGTGATGGGCAGCTTTGAGCAGCCTTGGAACAGCCCTGTGCCACAGCTGGGACAGGATCCTATGCAACTCTGCAAGAGCACAGTGGATGGGATTTGCAATGCATCCTGAACATCTGTTTTCAAGGCACTGTCTGCTAGCACTGCTCAGTCCTGACCTGCTGCACTGTCCTGGAACTCCTTCCTGAAGAGCTGCTGAGCACTGAACACTGGATTGTGTGTAAGTGCAGTAGAGTCTGGGGATCAGCTAAGGCAGACGTGCAGAAAAAGCCACTTCACTTGCCCGCTTGAGCTATCTCCATCTTGAGACATAGCTCAAAAGCAGCATACATGAATGATGGCATGCCATTCCTGCAGAATGGAAGTTACTTGTGTCTTTTAGTTCCCAGTCCCTGTCCCTTTTGCCAGTCATCTCTTAACTGCATGTGCCTGGAGGACTCACTGTCCAAGAGGGAGGGAACTAGGATTACTGTATTATAAAGTGGGTTGCCTTGTTATAAAACCCTGCAGGGGAAGCACACACTATATGATGATTAATACTTAGGCATTTGAATAGATGAATGGGAGCTGGTCTTTATTGCTGAAGTTCTTCCAGAGGTCATAACAATGCCAGGAACACTTACAAACCTCTGTCAAATGTGCTAAAAAGCCGGTTAGAGGAAATGTTGCTCACCGTACTTCTGTGTTCAATCTGTGGTCTCTCCAGGGCAATGGTGATGCAGTTCAGGAAGATGAAGGCCAGCACAACATAGTCAAAGAGCCTGTGAGCAATGACCGTTTGGCAGAGGAGGCGAAACCTGAAAGAGAGTTGTAGTAGGCACCTGTGCCTTGGGCAGAGTAAAGTTAGGAGCTGTGAGGACAGAGAATTGAGAGGTCTGGCCAAAACTGGACTCTGACATACCAACTTTCCTACCACTGATATTCATGTCCCTTGCCATGGCAATATCCCAAGGTGACCCACAGTCACACAGGGAGCCTGAAGCAGAGCAAGGGCAAAGCAAGGAGCTCTCATCTGTTGCCCAGTGGTTTCCTAACCACTATGGCTCTGTGCTCCTCTCTTGTCCTGTAGAGAAGAGGCTGAGTTTCATTTTTTTCTCCCAAACAGGGGAAGAAACCATGAGGCAAAGAGGCCACATGATGAAAGCTGAGGAGAGGCAGGTAGGTTGGAAGTCATGAGGACCTCACTTCTGTCCACTCTGAAAGACACCTTTGTCCATAAGCATAGGTGTCACACAGAGCAAGGAGTTCTCCATCATGACTTGTAAGGAAACATTCTTTACACATGGGTGAGAATACTGTTGGCTGGGGTAGATGGACATTTTCTCCTGGTGGGGAAATTAGCAGGAAGAATTTATCCCCAATTTCTTTTTTCAGGCAAGAAGAATCCTAACTTTGCCCTAAAAGGTGTGATAGAACCATTGATAAGTTGGTACTGGGACTGAAAATTAAATGGAGAGACTGTTCTGGTACCAGGGGAGGAAATATCAGTATTATGTAGTTGTTAATAATACGTTCCTTCTCCTTTTTGGGTTAATGTTAGTATTCCCTGCCTTGCTTTGCTATAAATATTTATGATTACACAAAAAAAATGGGATGCTCCAAAGGGTGGGAAAATCACAGTAACTATTTAGGATTTTCATCCTTTCTTTCATCTACAGAACCAAGGAAGAAAGCTGTTGCTTGGCTGTAGAAGTGGGGATGGAGAAGTCAAAACACAGCCTGCCCAGCTGGCAAGTTTAAAGTTGCAACCCAGCATGCAGATCTGGGGATGTGGCCAGCCTGGCAATAGAATCTGCCCCATTTTTCAACCCTCTAATGGCAAAAACTGCACAAACCTGTTTTGTGGAGAGAAGAGATATATGGACCAATCTTCCCGTAACTCACACCAGTCTGGCTTATAGACTTCCATCATCTTCCTGATGCGAAAGCACAGGGTCTGGAGAGAGACAGCAGAAGCAAGTGCCACTGGTTACCTTCCACATGGTAGGGAGACTGAACTTGAAGATGGATTTGTGGTTTCCAATAGCACTGTGGTGTAACCCCAGGTTCCTTCCACCCAAGTACTCACATAATCTATCTCTTCATCATCCTCTCCCCGTTCCTTGCGGTTGTTCATCTTTGGGAAGATCTCTTTGGCAATACTGGGCATTTTGCCATTGCAGTCTTGATGCTCACCAGCCCCAGATGCCGCTCCCAGCTTATGGGTCACTCTGTGGCCAGATGGGACGGAGGCCAACTCCAGCAGGTCACAGGAGCCTTTGTTGTCCAGGGAGAGAGTCCGGCGGTGATGAAACACCCTTCCTGTCCTATCTGGGTCCCCATCTGCCGCCCTGTGCCTTTCCCCAGACAGGAGGGATTCATGCTCAGCAGAGGGAGGATTGTGCTTCAGGCTGTGTCCCCGGGCCAGGCTGTTCCAGCTCGAACGACGACTCCCCCAGGCTCCACTGCAGCCCCAGGCACCATAGTGGGAACTGCGAGAGCTGGACTGTAAGACAGTAGGATAGGGATTCAGAGACTCTGGGCACAAGGAAGGAGCATGCGATCCTATTTCAGATCACAGGCTTCTCTCTAGCCTCCTAAGCCAGGAGGTTGCCATTTTTCAGTCTTTGAGGAAGTTGTATGGTGGGAATTTAGCAGCAATCATTGTAAATCTGACAATAAATCAATAATGAGTCAGCAATGTTGTTGACCATGATTACTTTATAGCACCATCTGTCTACAAAGTGCTTTTGGGGAAGGTAAATAACAAAGGCAAAGGCCAGGTGCCTGATGTTGTTACACCTGCACAGAGCAAGACTAAAGCTCTCCAAAAATCTCATTGGCAGTTTTTTACACTGTCCTGGGGTAAAGGATAACACAAGGTACAGGGTGATGAGTAATCTGACACACCGCCTTTGAGTTCAGTCTTAGTAAAAGGAAGAAATGAGAGAAACAGGCTTGTTGGTTACAGTCCAGCCCAACCACATCAGCAACTTATCATGTAGTATGTGGCTGCCAGCTCTCTCTGTTTAGAAATAACAGGGGTATGAACCCTCTGAGCACTGATGCAACCCCCAAAGCTGTGTGTTTTAGTGGAAAGCCCAGAAGCTGCTGTTACAAGGTGGGTAGGTCTGAGACGCATTCGCTAGACAGCCAGCAGTGCTTGGGGAAGCATTAAGGGGCAGAAGGACCTACTATGGGGAGCTTCAATTCAAGATTTCTCTCTTCACTGTTATAAAAGCTTCCAGAAAACTCATCTGTTATGGGACTTGACAGTTTTGGCACCACTCAGTTATTCCTATGCCTTTAACTCACCCAGGGCACCATTTTGTGCCCTGTGCTCTAGAAAAACAAAGAAAGAGCAAGGGGACAAAACATGTTTCACTCTAAGGAGGAGACTCTGTCTTCTTGCTGTTCCTCCTCTCCTGCCAGAGGAATATAAAAGAGCTGAATCCCACACTCAATGGTATATAGGTCAGCAACCTGGAAATTGACTTTAATAATCTGGAAATGTCGATAAATAATGTGAATCGACCTGGCTTCCTAAAAACAGGCAATGTGCTTGTGTTTGAAGTCTACAGCAGCAGTGCAATCCTCCACAGCAATCTCCAGCTGATGGACAGAAAGACAACAGAGTGCTTGGACCTCAAAAGAAGGGTACAGCACATTTCTAGTCACTCACCAAGGATCGCTGGTCGTAGGTCATTCTCCCCAGGGACATCACACTGCTCTTTCGGGAGCCAACAGCAACATGGATCTGGTCAGGCTGCAGGGAATTGCGTGAAGAGTTGGTGACACCCCCAGCAGCCAATGGGGGGTTGGAAGAGGACAAGGATGGGTCCAAGTGACCATTAGGTGTCACAGGAATTGCACAGAGCTTGGGATCTGGGTGGAAAGATGCAGAAGGAAGAAAGAGAAAAGAAGAAGGTGGGTTCCTCACTATCCAGTGACTGTTTTGGTGTCTAAGCTGTTTAGCATGTTAGCAGCACCTAGCAGAATATTACCTGTTTCACGTCAATCAACATGGATTCCTTCTGATTTAGGGTATTGTAGCAAAAACTGGGAAGATTTTGAAGTAATCACCTCAGCCCCCCCCAGACTGACAACAGCAATCCTTGGGGCCAGGCAAACAAGCAGAGTGCTGGTCAGGCAGGCTCAGGCTGATGGGCACCGCAAGAAGTCAAACCCTGGCAGCAAGGGGAGGAGTGTGTGCTTCTGCACTCCAAGAACAGACACCTGCATCTTCAGGCCTGAGCAAATACTGTCAGATTGGCTATTTAAAGCAGTTAAGCTGAGACACTGAGGAAGAGACTAAGATGTGAAGAGATCTGCAGCCATTCACGTATTGGAGTCATCTTTAAATCCCTGCAATCATACTCTTCAACCCAGTCTATCCTACTACACTGGACCTCTTCAAATGACTCATCATTGACCTTGAAGGTCCAAGATATACCTCTGAGGGGTATGTTAGGCATTGTGGATGACCATCAGCATTTGTCAAGATGGATGGAGAGGATGGAGTACTGGATTTTAATGCCTGAAAGGAGTGGAATCATCAATTCTGTTTTGACGAAAGTCACATATACACGCCTGCACACAATGCAACAGCCAAGAGTGTAGCAGCAGGCTCCATAACCACTTCCGTATCTGCCCTCCTATACGTTTGGCTGTCTATCTTCAAAGTAAGCTCTGATATGGTGTAGCCATGTAACCCAGGATCGCACTGCTGTGAAAACAGCTAAGTTCCCATAAAGAGCTGTGACAAACCAGCACTAGAGCCACTGCTCCTTGTTGTGGGAGCTGTATTTAAGCTCAGACCTGTGTTTGTGGTCCTTGTCTGGGTTATGCTGTGAGTATACTTGTGCCTGCTCTTGCACCTTACTGATCCCAATCTTACCCTGCTGACTGGACTTTCCGGCTTGACCTCAGACCTGCCTCACCACTGTAGACTTGCCTAGCAATCACTGAACCATTGGCTGACCCTCGCTAGTGTCAGCAGATCTGCTCTGCTCACCTTGTGTATGTACTGTGCATTTGTGCGATCAGTGTGATCCCTGCCCTCCTGCCTGGCTGTCCCCGCCACCTCAGCTCCTCTCTCACCATCCATCACAGAGCAAGCTACTCTTGCTGCTCCCTGCCACACAGTCCTGCATGAAGTACAATACCTCTTGCACAAAGACTTGCAGTCTTCAAGGAAAGACTTTGAGGGGTGGAGACCTTACCTGTCAGTCTATAGGCAGACTGTTCTGACAGTTAATTATCTTTTCTTAAAAATATGTGTCTTTTTTTCAGTCTGAATTTACCTAGCTTCAGCTTCCAACCTTTACAATCTCACTATGCTTTTTCTTCTCAATTAAAGAGCCATCTACCATCAAAAATGTCTCCTTATGTTTGACACTTACAGCGTTTGCGATAAAGTCATTTCTCTGGTTTCTCTAAGCTTCATTACCTCTTGCAATAAGACAAGATTTCCAGATCTGTCTGAGTCCTTTTTAATGTGTTGGTATCCCCTGTCCAAATGTGGGTCCAAGATATTGACACAGTATTCCTTAAATGGTGCCCCTGAAGCTAAGCAGGGACAGTCTCACTCCTGAACTCCTAGTTGCTGTTCTGTTGGTCGTTCAAGAACTGCTGCCTTTAGCTACCACATTCTTCAGGATGCCATCACAGCTCTGTTATTTTGCAGATAACACCACAAACTAGCACAAAGGTCAAAATGAAAACTGTAAATTCTTGGAGATTAGAGTAAATTTTCTGCACAATCTGCTTTCAGACTTCTCACTAAACAACAAGACATAAGCAAATATGGCTGTTTGAGCTACTGTACCTGAGCCTTCCTGAGCCTCTTGGAACTGATCTAACTCATCCATGTTTGATGAACTCTGATCTTCATCTGAGTATGACCGGTTGGCATCACCCTGGAACACACAAATTTAGAAGTTGGGAACTCATAAACAGAAAAGACCGTTTGCTCTTGTCTTTTGTTGCTGGAACAACTGTAAAACCCTCCTTGGCAGCCAGGCACCAGTGTGATCACTGGAAAAAGCCTCACATGACCTGAGATGGCTGATGTACTGCGTTCTTGCTTTTGGAGGGACAAAGGACTTACCCTGGTAGGATAGGGTCTGTTGCACAGGGTGGAAATTGTGAGCTCTCTTCCAAAGGGCTTGTCTCTTTCCTTGCAATAATTAATACTGTTGGTTTGGGTTTTTTTTTAATGAGGCCTACCCTGAACTTAACAAGGGAAATGGCAGAAGTGTGATACTTTGGAAGTCCTCCACCCCAGCACTCTCAAAGTTCCTTAGTACCTTAGTACCTGTGTTTCTCCTGATGCAGCCTCAGTGGCAACTCACCTCAGCCTGGAACCCTTCCACAAGAATAGCCACCAGCAGATTGAAGAGGACGTAATTGCCAAATGTCATGAGAGCCACAAAGTAGAGGGATGCCCATGGTGAAGTGGAGGCCATGCCATTATAGAGCACAACATTCCAGTCCTCCTGCGTTAGGATCTACAACCAGGAACAGAGGCCACATAAACATGCAGGAAGAACTCAAAGGGGATTCTCAGAAAAGGACAGTGAAAGGATATGCATCAGGACCACATAGGCCCCTTAACTTCCCCATAACCATACACACACTGTCCCCTGTCACTGTCCATCTGTGGTAGTGCCCAATAGTTTTAGCTGAGTAAAGAAGAAACAAGAGCAACTATAAGGACAATCATGTTCTGAGGTGATGGTGTTAAATATGGAAGTTGCCACACAGGAGTGATATTTGCAAATTGTCTCCTAGGGAAGTAGGAGCACCTCTGTCTGAGAGATAGACCAGTTGTTTGGTTACAGCACACAGTTGTTCTTCCTCCAAACGTCACAGGCCAGCGCCTTTTGTGCGGCCCTTAGTGCTGTTAGGAGCAAGTGCAACACTCCTCAATGAGAAAAAGCACCTCTTCATCCTCTTCACTTTGCCCTGGCCCACCGATGGAGAGAAAAGTGGGCTCACCTGGAAGACGGTGACAATGGCCCACAGCAGGGAGTCAAAATTCTTCCGGTCAGGAACTGTATCTCCTGTGTCTGTCCTGAGGCTGAACTTGCAACCAAAGATGTGCATTCCCAGAATGCTGTTGGGACAAGAAGTGGAGATGGTGTCAAATATAAATGTCTCTTCCATCACAACGAGCTCATCAGAGTAATTCTTTTTCACTCCCAACAATCTAATGTAACGTCAAAAAAGTGAGGGGTAGAACAACACAGCCAGACCTTTGGGACCTATCTGTGAAGAAGGAGCTGTGTATCGCACCCCTATAACTCACCAAAACCCCTTGCTTTCCACCTGTACTGCTTCAGAGCTATTTCCACTAAATTGTCCTTCAGATCTGCTCTCTTCATCATTCTCGTTTGCTTTCATTTTTCTTCATCTCCCCACCACTGCATCTGATGAACTTTCCTGGTTGCTTCCTGCCACCTTTCTGCCAGTCAGCCTCTAGTCTGAAATCTTCCTGCAGCCAGTGCTGATTACCAAGAGACTTCACCTATCCTACAATGGGACATGATGCTCAACATGTGCATTTGGTGGCAGTATTTCTCCAACCCATCCAGGCCAAATCTTCAGCTGCTGAGCCCAATATAGTGCAGCAGTAACCTCAGCCCTTATGAAAAAATAAACCTTTGTCACTGCTGCCTGAGCCTAGAGCAATGAACAAGATGAGTCATGCAGTCATGCTCTGAAGTTGCTGTCCACATGAGCCATGCAGTGCCCCTCCAAAACACTGTGAGGCAACTAACTGCCTCCTCACCTGAATATAAAGATGAAGAGCATGAGGAGCATGCAGAAGGTGGCTACGTTGTCCATAGTCTTCATCAGCACCACAAGCTGTCGGCGCAGTGCAGGCATGAAACGCACCAGCTTCAGCACCCGCAGGAGGCGGAAAGTCCTCAGCACAGAGAGCCCCCCATCTGCCTGGCCGATGATCTCCCAGATGCTATGGCCCGGAGAGGCACAAGGGAGTACAAGGGACAAAATGAAAGACAAGTGAATGAACAGAAGAGAGAGAGAAAAAACAATGCTAGTCCTAGTTTCCACCTCTACATTGGCAGCAAATATAAATGGATCAGAAGGAAAATCTGTTTGAGCAAGATAGAATTAGAAGCATATACTATAGGCATGTGCCTATATGTGGAAAGCTGCTTTTCTCCCTTCAGATGAACATGGCACTGCATGTTGCAGGAGTGAGGAAGGGACTGCAGCATTAAATTCCAGAAAGACAGGTTCTTCTATCACACATTAAACATTTTTAAAATATTTCACAGCTAATATTTATTGTGGATTTACAAGGCAATCACAATTGCCTCCATTCTACAGAGGAGAGAACTGAGGGGCAGAAATGCTATGTGGCTTGCCTAGGGTGATTTACCAAATGTTGGGAAAAGACATCTTGTTCTCCCCATCCCTGGTCTTGTGCATCAGCTCAGCTCCTCCTAGTATAGGTGCTAAATCCTTTTGAAAAGGCACATGGAAATGTGCAAGGTCTTTGGAACTCTTTTTTATGAATATTTCAGTTGATCCCCATGGCCCTTGTCACCTGATGATGACGATGATACTGTCAAAGATGTTGTAGGGGTTGCGGAGGTAATCAAAGAGACCAAAAGCAGCAAGTTTCAGGATCATCTCCAGGGCAAACATGCTTGTGAAGACAACGTTGCTGATCTCCAAGATGTTAGTCAATTCCTCTGGCTGGACAGAAAGCGAATTCAGAGAGTCAGAACTGAAAGAGCCCTGAAATTATGGGAAATAAAGTGCTACCCTTCCCAGGGGACAGGCTTCATAGGGAGCTGCGAGGCTTCCATGGGTGAGATTAGAGCTGGATAGAACCACTTCCACTCCAAATCCTTTGCACATTTACTACCTTCATCATAGATTACGTCTCTAACAAATTCTTTTACTAGAGATGGTCAGGAGCCCCACAGCCATTTACACAGACAAAGCTGACCAAGTGTCTCCCACATCCCACTGCACATCCAGCTAAAGGCTGCTTTATTTGTGCAAAGAATTTGAGTGTTTTTTTTAGCAGGGCAAAAGTGCTGATCTGTGGGCCCCTCTTTCTTCAAGGACTTCTTCCTCTGAAGTTTCCACATGCAGCTAGCACATTTTTTTGCTGTCATTCTGAAAACATTTGAATGATAGGAAAACATTTCCCCATCTTCCTCTGAATCTTACTGCACTTCTCCACCCCTTTTCCCTCTATTTTTATCTTTATCATTTTTCTTTCCCCCACTTCCCACTAAATCTTTCGTATACATTAGTTCTCCGTTCTTGCTCCAGCAGCCTTTTCTCATGCCTCTATCCTTAAAGCGGTCTCAGTAATTACCTGCCTATAAGGGAGAGGAAGAGCAGGAAAGAGTGAGAAAAAGAGAAAAATGAACTCCAGGAAAAAAAAGGAAAAAAGAAAAAAAAAAGGCAATCTGACCCTTCTTTCAGCCCCAGTGAAACAGCCTTCTCCAGCAGAGACCGATGTGTTTGTGCATATGAGAGAAAGTGTTTTAATGACTCCATCAGCGGAACAAGTCTGAGCAAATTAAATTACTCCTCCTTTTGTTTTCTGAATTAATGAGGTTTTTCTTCAGTGTGTGCAGCCTTGGAAACTTCCCTGACAAGGTCAGGAACGGGTCTAGACTGTTTCCTCAGGAATGAAATGTTGCTTCACGGGGAAACAGAGGCTGCACTGACATCTTTGATGAAGGATGTCAGGATCTTGCCATCGCTGAGAAACAGAGGCAAACTGAATTTGGAATGGACTCACCTGCTCAAAGCACTTCTCATCCAGGGACTAGGACTGCACCACAGCCAAACCAGGGCTGAGGTCTTGAACAAGTGAGAGAAAAACTTCCTCCCAGTATAATGGGTTGCATCTTGGAGCCAACCTAGACAACCCATGGCCTTCAGACTGCATGAGACTGCTAGGGCAATTAACCTGATGCTGGACATCACCTTCCCAAGCAGCAGCTGAGGGGGACCTGCTCCAGATGAAGGTGTGCCACCTTTCCAAGCAGAGGAACAAGGCATGGCAGCTCCAAGGCACTTCTTCAGGGCTCCTCTGGCCAAAATTTCCATGTTTACCTTGAAGTAGTTATGTCATACCTCAGACAAGTTTACATATTTGATGTATAATGGACTGTGCCACTGAGCCCCAGCTCCAAGTCTTCAAGGTGGGTCTGATCCAGGCTCTGTGGTAGCAGGCAGTACTGTTCTCACTGTTTGGATACCCATGCTGAAAAGGTGGCTGAGGACTCCTTACTTCCTTCATGTTGGTCTGAGTTATGTGTGGACCACTCTTTTAAGCATCATGTAAAAAGGACGGGAACAAAGCTGCAAAAGCCTGTTGTTTGAGGCAAGAGAGGACACACATTCCTAGCACTGCAGAAACGAAAAATCAGTCCCTGCAGGTCAGAACCAGCATTTTTACCATGAGCTCATTATTAGTGCCCACTAGAACAGCAGTCATGGTCTCTACCTGAGGACTGCAAAATTGACATTTTACTGAAGAGCAGCCTTTGTGTTGGCTGTACCCGTTACTTACTCATCTGTTGGAAGATGAAGTGAGGAAAGAACGTAGCTCTGGGCCTGACCCTCCCCCTGAAGCAGGGGGCTGTTTTAACCCCTTCTCTGGGACCCCAGGGGCCCAGATCCTCCCAGGTGAGTAAATGGACTCGAAACTGCTCCTCACTTCTGTGGCTTTCCATACCCTTTGCTGATTTCTTGCACTCCTCATTGCAGATTTTTATTGAAATACTCCATTTCTTTAAAATAAAGGAGATGGCTCAATTTCTATCCATAATTATATTTGAATAGCAAAACCATCCTGAAAAGGAGGGGGAAAGAAGGGGAGATAACACTGAAGAGAGGAAAAACAACAAGCAAGTGCACATAGGAAGGGAGAGATGAAGATCACTTCATGGAGAGCCAGCCAATAATGACACTTGCTAGGAACATGAGGTCCATATGCTAAACAGAGATGTCAATTTCAGCCTGAATCAAATGATTGTCAGTGAGAATGAGCAATGTACAAAAGTGACAGGCTATGATGGTGGATTATCCTCCCCTCAACTGTCCACACATTCTCTCTCGAGGAACTGATGTTTGAAAAGCCATGCTTGCATCTCACTTGTGGAAAAGGTCATCTGTTCCCCTGTCTCGCCTTCCCTCCCTGACATCTGTTCCTCTAGGCAAGCCTCCACCTGTTAGTCTTTTTTTAATGGGCCATAAATCAGCCCCAGCAAAGCATCCTTCCTAGAGAGAGGGGTAGGAAAGACTGAGCAGGGAAAGGAATGAGAGATGGGCAGAGAGAAAGGCAGCAAAGGAAGAATCAAAAAACAAAGCCAAGAAAACCCCCTTAAATAAACTCACTGGCACCTACAAGAAGTAGAGGAGAGATCTTTTTTTTTATTACTTTTTTCTTTTTAATGGAGGATGTTTTTTCCTGGAGAAGGAAGAGCAACACAAAAGGAATGAACTCAGGAAAACAAAGAAGAGAAAAAGAGAGGACTATGTTGGAGAGGTACACTCCCTGGATAAAGGATGCATTACAGCTGTTTCCGGAGATACAAATAATTCAGCACTGTGCAAAGAGCCAGAAGCTGGGAGCCAGGGCTGCAGGGCTGGGGACACCAGGGGCCGTGTCCTTTGTGGGGATGCCCTTGCACATGAGGCACTGTGGCCATGAACGGCAGTGGACATGGCTGGTGCAGGGGACTCTCTCTGGCCAGGGAAGTGTGAACTTAATGAGGCAGGCAAGTGAAAAGGGAAGAAGTGGTCTGATAGACTGGTTTACCCATCACACTAAGACAGAAACTTGAATAAAACTGTGGGAGCTGAGTATTGGGGTGAGAAGGGTGGCTCAAAGAGGAGAGAAATCAGAGGGGAAAGCATGCCCAGAGCCAGTGTTTGAACCAGGCTGGTTCACCTACTCTGCATACAGATCTCTTTCTAAATCTATGAAACTACCCAATTCTTCATGGCACAAAATCCTTCATCCCTAGCAGTGCAGACCAAATACTGAGCATGAAATGTATGAATCAGATCTATTTCAGAGCTCCTGCCCAGTGATCAGAAACTAGAACTGGGGCAATAGAGGGCAGCAGCTATTTTCCCCTTTTCAATTTCTTACTTACATTAGAGTTCTTAAGTCAGATTAGACTGAAAAAGTAATTAGTCCATTAACTGACAGGAGCCAGAAACTGCTGCACTGTCAAAAAGGTTTTCACAGGGAAGTCTGCTGCTTCCCTGGGGCCAGGGTAAGGGACTTCACCAGAAAACTCACTCATCTCATTCATCCCTGCAGCTACTATCTTTTATTAGTCTTCCAGGTGGCCAATGAGGAAATCAATTCAAGAAGCCTGAGGAGACTCAATAAGGACTCAGGGCCTTGGGGTTTAGAGTCTGAGAGCCCAAGTAGTGTTCTTGTCCCTCCTGCCAGTCACCATCAGTGACAACAGCTACATCAGAAGAATCTCAGTAATTAAATACTGGCTCCGTGACTGGTGTCAGTGCTATAAGTTGGGGTTTTCTGACCATGGACCAATCTACATGGCATCAGGCCTATGAGCAGTAGATGGGGTATGCTTGTCCCAAAGGGGGAAAAAGATTCTAGCCCAGGAGCTAACAGAGCTTATAGACAGCACTTTCAACTAGGCTAGAAGGGGAAAGGGGGCAACACCAGGCTCGCTAGACATGAGCCACAGGGTAGTGTGCCACTGTTGGAGTCCAGATCCACAGGGCAACTTAAATGCATTTATGCCAATGCCTGCAGCATGGGCAACAAACAGGAGTTGAAAGCCATTGTGCAGCAGGGAAATCATGACATAATTGACATCAAAGAAACATGAAGGAATGATTTGCATGATTGGAGTGCTGCAGTGGATGGCTACAACCTCTTCAGAAGGGATAGGCAAGGAAAATGAGGTGGTGGGGTTGTGTTGTATGCCAGGGAGTGCATCGACTGCCTTGAACTCAGTGTTGTAAGTGAGAAGGCTGCATGTTTGTGGGTAAAGATCAGGGAGAAGGCCAATGAATCAGATATCCTAGTAAGAGTCTGTTATAGACCACCCAGCCAGGATGAAGCTACACATGAAGCATTCTTCAAACAACTGGGAGAAGTTTCACGATCGCTTGCCTTTGTTCTTGTGGGGGATTTCAACCCCTCACTTGGCTGCTGGAAGTACAACAAGTATAACACAGCAGAGAAGAAACAATCCAGGAGGTTCTTGAGGGGTGTGGAAGATAACTTCCTAACCCAGATGGTTAGTGAGCCAACTAAGGGAGATGCCTGGCTGGATTTGCTGTTTGCAAACAGAGAGGGACTGGCAGGTGATGTGATGTTTGGAGGCTGTCTTGGGCAAAGCAATCACAAATGATTGCATTTCCAGTCCTTAGAGAGGTCAGGAAGAAGGTTAGCAAAACCTCCACCTTATACTTCTAGAGGGCTGACTCTGGCCTGTTTAGCACATTGGTTGGCAGAACTCCTTAGGAAACATTACTGAAGGACGAAGGGGTCCAGAAAAGCTGGACACTTCAAGAATGAAATCCTTAAGGTGCAGGAGCAGATGGTCCCTATGTGCTGAAGATCAAACTGGTGGGCAAGAGATCAGCCTGAATGAACACAGAGATAGTGCCGGAACTCAAGAAAAAAATGAGAATTTATCATCTGTGGAAGAAGGGACTGTCACCCCATGAGAAGT